CCGCGCGCCCCTGCCGGGCCCTCCCCGCCGCGCCCCGCCGGCCCCGCTGCTCCCTGACCCGGATCATCGAGTCCAGCGCCGGGCCGTCCAGACACGTGAAGTTGCGCAGCAGCGCCCACTTGTCGCGCTGGAATCTCGCCTTGGAGTCCCGCGCCGCGGGGCTCTCCAGCATCCAGAACACGCCGGTGCCCAGGCCCAGGTAAGCCAAGTAGGCGAGCAGCAGGAGCACCGTGCCTGGCACCGCGCAGCGCTGGGCCCTGCCCCCCGACGCCGCGCGGGCTCGCGGTCTGCACATGGTGGACAGACGGGGCGGCCGGGCCGAGGCGGGAGGGAAGGGCCACCCGCTCTGCTGGCCCCTGCACTGGCCAACAGCTGCTTGTGCTCAGTTTTCTCAGCAGAGGAGGCGTGCTGGACAGCCGTGCCCCACCCTGAGCCAGGATCCAATCCCAGGGACAAAAAGAGGGCCCAGCTGTGGCCCCGCCTCGAGTGTGTATGGAGTGCCCACCCCCAGGCCCGGCTCAGGGAGAAGGGAAGGGCTGCTGGGTGATGCAGGCTCTTGAGAAGGAAGGGCCCAGAGCCCTCGGCTGTCCTGTAACAGACAGTGGGAGGGACTCCTGGAGACCACACTCAGGGAAGAGAAAGCAGAAGCCAAGTTTATTTTCTTAGGGCCCCTGCCTAATCCCTTGGGCCCTGGGACCATCTCCAAGGACTTGCTGCCTGTGAAGTCCTTCCTGGATCTCTCACACCATCACATCATCTTTGTGTACCCAAAGATGAGGACCCCAGCTGATGACCTGTCCATGAGGTTGGGAGGTGGAAGAGCCTGGACCGGTAGGCTTGTCCATTCCCTACTTCTGAAGAGGCCCCCTAACTCCCTCCTCTACCCAGAATGGAGAAGGGTCCTGGGTAGGGAGGGAGTCCCCAGGGGTCCCCAGCTTCAAATCAGGACACCCTAGGATGTAACCTGGGTCTCGCTGCTGTAGATCCTGCCCTGGGTGTCCCGCCTGGAGCCTCCTCTGCATCACAGCCTCGCCTCAGGCCTGTCCAGAGGTCCCTGGCCACTTATGGGCCTGCCTTGCTGCTGGGGTTGAAGTAGGGGCTGAAGTTTGCAGTCCTTGGTGAGGCTGTGCCTTGGGATAGGCTGGTCTAAATCTCTCCTTTCCTTCCTGCCAGAGGTGTCGCCATCTGGCAGGAGAAAGGCCAGGACAGCAGAGCTTGTTCCCGAGGGGAGGCTGTGCCTCCATGGAGCTCATTTCCTGGAAGTCTCCTGGGATCTGCTGGCTCCGTTTTCCCAGGAAAACATGTTTGGCAAGGCTCTTAAGAAGACAGGAGCCCAGAGTGGATGGTGGGATCAAGGGGTGCCCTGTGGGGGGTGAGTCAGGGGAGACCATGTCCAGGAAAGTGGGCGAGACAACCAGGACCCCCTGGGTCTTGTTCATGGACAGCTCTAGCGCTCTTGGCAAGGGGAACTGCCGAGTTCCCGTCGGTGCAGCTCCCTGAGCGCAGGGATCCTCTCTGCACCAAGATGCTCCAAAGTCCCTGCTGCTCTTCTTGACCTCCCTGCCGGCGGTTCCCATGGGCTCCCTGGTCTGCCCTTGTCACAGCATTTTGGGCACTGGGCTGGGGTTGCCTCTCTACTTGGCTAGTCCTTCCATTCAACTAAATGCACATGGTGGGCAGGAGCTTCCTTTGTTGTACCCCAGAGCCTGACACAGTGCTTGACACATAGTGGGGCCAGGCCAGTGAACACTGTGCATGGATCAGTGAGGCGAAAGTAAAGGCACCCTTTGTTTGCGCCCCTGTATGAGGTCTCCTGGGAGGGGCTGTGGGGAGGGCATGGGGATTTGGCCACAGTGATCCATGTCTGGTCACCTTTGAGGGGAAAAGGGCAGGGGCTGTGGAACAATGACACCCATCTGGCTTCACACACATCTGTTGTTGATCCTGTCTCGACTCGACATTTCCTTTCTGGTGCTTCCTTGGATGCTCCTGCCTCATTTCTCTCTCCAGTGAGCTCCTGAGGCCAGCCTTGGCTGGGAAATGAGTGGATTGGGAGAGGAGGTGGGGAGAGAAATCCAGAGAGCATATGGGCTGGGCTAGGGAAGCTGAGAGGGGCTCCTGGGGCCACTGGGGGGCCTCATGCAGAGATAGGGATCTTCTGAGGTCTGGAGAGCCCATTGGTCTCAGCGACTCCCTCTTCCTTGAGGCCGAGGCCCCTGCTGAGCAGCCAGAGCTGGGAGCACCTGTGCAGAAGCAGGGGACCTAATGGGAGGACCAGCGCCAGCCATGCCAGGCCCAGGATGATCCAGATGGCCGCCAGGCTCCGGTACACCGAGATGTAATGCTTGCTGGGGTCCGTGCCTGGCAGGGAAGGGAGATGTGATAAATTCCAGGGGACTGAGGCCACAGCCTCCCCAGGTGCCACAGGGGCCCTGCCAGCCTCCCCATAACAAGAATCAGCAATGGAGGTGTCTGGGGAAAGGGTGGTGGGTCCCAGACCAGTAGCTTCTGAGGCTGTTGTGAGAATCCACAGCAGCCTCAGAAATCATTCATCTCCTCCAAAGAACCAGGGGCTATCTGATCCTCAGTAGTTACCCCTGCTGACATCTCCCTACCCCCCCAATCCCGGTGTCCCTGACCCTGAGATATGTGAGGCCTCATTCTCACCAACAACATAGTCCCCAAAGCCGATGGTGCTGAGAGTGATGAAGGCAAAGTAGAAACCCTCACTGAAGCTCCAGCCCTCCACATGGCTGAAGACCATGGTTGGAAAGACGAGAATGACCAGTGTCCCCAGCATCAGGAACAGGGCCAGGCCCAGGATCTGCAGCAGCTGGAGAGAGGGAGGGAGTCCATCTCTGAGTCCACTTGGAAGACCCCAGGACTGTACAGGGGGTCGAGGGGAGTCTGAGGAAAATTTGGGAGTGGGGCTGGGTCAAGGCCAGGTCCCTTCTCTGCCCTGCATTCCTTTGGGGTGGGCCTGGATCTGTGTGTGTGGGATCTTGCCCAGGTCAGGAAAGATTCGGTCAGAGGCACTGCATTAGTGGGTCAAGTTGGAATTTGGAGATTCCTTTGGGCTGGGGAATCCACTTGTACAGTGCCCCATGGACTCAGATCTAGGACAGAGGACTGTCACTGAAGCAACCCAGATTCCTCTACACCCTTGTCCTTCCTCCCAGTGTGCCTGGCTTTGCAAAGGGCTGGCCAGTGGGGTGGGCACTGGCGCTATGCTGGGTGGCCTGGAGTTTATTGGAGTTCTGTGATGACCATGGAGGTGTGCCCTGTTGACCAGCTGTCAGCAGGTGGCATCCAGCTGTCGGTTCCTTCAGGATGAATGGCAGCTATAGGAACTGCCTGGCCTGAGGGCACACCTTCCCAGGGGGGCTACCCCGTGCCTAATACAAGCAGGGGTATAAGGCCCTGGTTGTTTCAGCCCGCTGCGGGGACAACTCTGACGGCCTGCACATGCTGCAGAGCTTCGTGAGGGGCTGGCCAAGTCTTTGCCCAGCCCACATTGCATTCAGCCTCTCCCTCTGCCCAATCCTTTCCTTCCACCGGTGCCTACCTAGCACCTGCTTGCCACACTGTCTCAGTGTCTGCTTCCAAAGGATCAACCTGCAACAGATTCTGTCACAGCGGGGCTGAGGGAGGGAGGGGCTCTACCTGGGAGCGTCGGGGCTGGTCCTCCCACCTCTCAGGTGTGGTCAGGTGGCCACGCAGCCCTGTGCCCAGGTGGTTGAGGAAAATCACATTGAGTGGGATGCCCACCAGAGCGTAGAAGACACAGAAGACCTGGCCCGCCTCGGTGCTGGGTGCCAGGTTCCCATATCCTGCAGGGGAGGAGAAGTGGGTAAATGGCGGGGGGCGGGGGGGAGTTCAGAACTGCCCCCCCACAGGCTCCAGCAGAGGCTGGTGGTCTTCTACCACCTCTAGGGGGGAGGAGGGGAAGCTCCCCTGATCTCATGAACACTTTTCTCATTCTCTGCTAGGATGTTCCCTGTTTATAAGACTCCTGCTTGTCTCTCAAGGCCCATCTTAAATGGCACTGCCTCTAGGAAGCCCTCCTGACTGCCACCTTCCTCCTCCCTACTAGGTGTGATTTCCCATAGTGCTTTGTGTCATTCCTATCTAATTACCTACTTTGCCTTGCACTGTTGTTTCTGGTGTGTTTATATTGTCCCTCTTCCTTGGATTGGAAGCTCCTTGAGGGCTGAGTCTGGGTCTGATCCAAGTTTCTATGTATCCTCCCTACCCCCACTCCTTCCTCTGCCTCCCATGTCATCAGAGCTCAAAGAAGGTGTTGGACTTAACTGGCCTTAATTGAATGGTTGGGGGAGACTTAATTGGCCTTAATTGAATGGATGGGGTTAGTGGGGGTCTGGGATTTCCTTGCAGGAGGCAGAGTGGGTTTTGTGGCTGAGGGGTATATTGGGATAGCACCTGCAGCTTTGTGGACAGTTCTTGTGCACACAGATGACTTCCCTCCCCAAGTCCCTGCATCTCTCTGTACCTGAGAGACTTTTCTGGCCGCTGGAGTTCACTTAATCTGTGGTCGGGTCCAAAATGCTGGAGAGTTAATTCATCCAGGATTCGCTCTCAACCAGCCAGGGCAGGGCTGGGGAGACAAATATCCCTGCTTTCTCGCCCCTCGCAGGGACTGTTCTGAGAATGGGCTCTCCCTAGCCGCTCAGAGGATCCCCAGAGGGGGTGAGCCCAGCTGCCCTACCCAGTAGCCCGTTCACTGATGCAAACTTCATTGCCTTTTCTCCCTGTTTCACTTTCCCACTTCTCTGCTAGTGCTTCCTGGAATCATCTCCTAGATGAACTACATCTTTGTCTCAGCATCTGCTTTTGGGGAACCCAAACCTCGACAGGGGAAGCCCTCTTCACCCGATCTTTTACCTATGGTGGTGACCACTGTGCCTGCAAAGAAGAAACTGCTGCCGAAGTCCCAGTTGCTGGGGTTGGTGGAGTTGCCTTTGGGGTTCACGCCCTTCACCCAGGCTTCCAAGATGACCTGTGGAGTGGCAGGAGGAGGGAGCTGACGGCACCAGCTGGAGCTCAAGTTCTCAGCAGGGTGCTTTTGTGTCACCTCATTTAATGAGATTCTTAGTCTCATTTCCATTTCATGGAAAAGGAAACTAAGGCTCAGAGTGGCTACTTGCCCAGGGTCATTCCAAAGTCCTTCCCTTGTCCAGGACTGACCGCAGTGTGGGCTGTGAGCATGGGCTGGGGGAGGGGAATGGGCCTAAGGAGGCAGAAGATGCTTAAGGAACGGACCAGGTGGGAGACGCTGCCGGTGACCAACAGGGTGAGATGCAAATGAGTTGTTAGGATGATGGGAAGATTTCAGGTTGCATGTTCCTGGAAGGGTTTGCTTGGGAACACAGGGTATGGGGTCCATCAGGAAGGCATAGGGTTGCCCTCCCATGGGGCTGATGGTTCCCTGTGCGGCCAGGTGAGCTGGTAGTCTTGCTCTTTGCTGCCCCCTAGTGAGTGTTAGCCCAGGCCTACAAGAGAAATTCCATCAGAGGCCAGGGCAAAGGTCTGTGTGTGTGTGTGTGTGTGTGTGTGTGTGTGTTAAGTGTGTGATGCTTTGTGTGTATGTGGGTGTTGAGTGTGTGTTTACAGAACCTGAAGGCTCAGACCTAAACCCTTCCGCCCCTGGGCCCAGCCCTCTTGGATACGGGCAGGGCTCCCTCCCCCATCTGCTCCCAGACCCCCTCCCTTGTAGCTGTGAATTGTGCCAGGGCAATGGCACAGCCTGGCCACTTGGTAGAGCCCCAAAGGCAAGTGGGAGGCAATGGGGGAGGGGGCAGCTCTGGCTTCGTTCCTGTGGGAACCATGTCCCCACTGGCTGGGTGAGTGAGCTCTGGCCAGGGTGGGGCATCCTGACACAGGCTGTCTGCTGCTTCTCACTTTGACAGAACTGACCTCTTCACATGTGAACTTTGGCTTCCCTCTCTTTCCCACACATCCTGACATGCCAGGATGGAACATTTTGGAACATACCCTCTCCCTGGAGACCCTCCCTCTTGGGAGCAGCACTTGCCCTGGACCCCAGCTCTCCCCACTCTGACGTTCTCCATCCCCCAGAGGAGGGGCCTTGATGTCTGCGAGGGTGCCCAGTGGGGCGCCAATGCAGACCTTCTGTCCCTCTCTAAGAATTCATGGTGGAGAAAGGCAGACACTTAGTCCTATGAACCTGGGCACAGCTTCATTTCCTGACGGAGTTGGCCCTTAATACTGCACATAGGGTGTTTACAGCTTTTTCCCTTGTGATCTGAGCATTAATGTGCGTTCTGGAGTCTCATCTCAGAATTCTGCTTCTCAGCTAAACATCCCCTGGCAAGTGAGGCCCCTCCTCAGGAGGCTGAGGACTTGAGGGATGTCCTGGCTCCCTCAGGGCTGTAGTCAAGGCTGTGGCCTCCCTGCTCTGTTTGCAGAGCCACCAACCCTTCCCACAACCTCTGGCTCCTGGGTTTTGCCTCTAACCCAGGGCTGAGGGAGCAGGAGGTTCCAGGGCCTCCAGGGCCCCTCTCTTACCCCCATCCCCCAACCCCCTCTCCACCTCCTGGAGTCTATAGAGGCTCCCAAATCCTTTCTAGTCCTGATGTGGGTGCTGTGGCTCAGCCCTGTGCTGCTGAGGAGCAAGGATGTGAAGCCTCAGGCTGGAGGCCTCATTTCCTGGAGGAAGGGGCCTGGGCAGGTCTCTCACAGCCCACCCACTCTCTAGGTCAGCTGTTCTCCATCTCAAGTGGGCATTGGCGTCGCCTCCAGAGTTCCTGACTCAGTGGGTCTAAGGCAGGCCCAATCACTGCTGTTTCTAATGAGCTCCAGGTCTGGGGCCCACACGTTGAGAACTGCTGCTCTCGGCTGTATCCTGCCCAGGCACTTGTGCTAATTTGTGTGGATGCGAACTCTATCTCTACCACTAACTGTGCAACCTCGGCCAACATAAGCCACCTCTCTGTGCCTCAGTTCCCACCTACAAACTGGAGATAGTGATAATGTAGGTGATTATGAGAAAACACATATAAAACGCTGGGCCCATCATGGTGACCCTGTTCCCCACTGTTTAAGGCACATTGTAAATGCTCGGCAAATATCAATGATCACTGTGCTTGTGTCTCTGTGGTGGATGCTGTCATTCACTCCGGCCCTAGTCTCGAGCGCACTTACCTTCCCCAGCAGCACCGTGCTTTGCCTTGTCTCTTGCAGAGAGCGTTTTGGGAGTTTGTGTGGGAAGCAGAAGGGGCCCAGGCAGGGGTGACCTGCTCTGCCATCAGAGAGCCTCCCAGGGGCACGGTGCTGGTGGAGCTCAGTCGCCCTGGCCACTACTCGCCAAGCCCAGCTCCAGGTGGCTCCTGGCCGGGGAGGGCCAGCATGGCGGCTCCTGATCTTTATCTGTGTCTCCCACCCAAAGCTTCAGCTGCCACCGCCCCGAGTGTGGTCAGCACAGGGACATTAGCTGGGAGAGGGCAGAAGGAACACGGCCCTGGGCTGGGGCTGGGAAGTGCAGAGTGGGGGAGAAGGGATTTGCACAGCGTGGGTAATGCCAATACTCCAATCATGGGTATACAGCAAGTGGCAACTTAGAAAGTGTGTTCAGTCTGCTGTTGAAAGTCTGCAGCACAGATATGATTACTCTCACCTTCTAGGTGAGGAAATTTGGGACCAGAGAGGTCAAGTGAGTTGCCCCATGTCACAGTGATCCAGTTTTAGAACTGGATCTAGGTCACCCCTGGCTCTGTTCCCGCCCCCTCTGCTTCCAAACAAGGCTTCGGCCCCTGGGTTGTGGCCCTGGACCGGCCACGAGAACCCCCATTCTACACCCTCCCCCCCCCAGCAGCATGTCCCCTTCACCTGCACAAACTGCTCCAGGGCCCGCTGGTCCAGGCAGGTGTAGTTCTCCAGGAAGCGCAGCTTCTCAAACTGAAACTGGTCCCTGGACTGAGCCTCTGCCTGCTTCTCCAGCAGCTGGAAGACCGTGGCTCCGAGCAGCAGGTAGCAGACGTAGGCCAGCAGCAGGGGCAGCACCCGGCTCCCCCAGCAGCTGCGGAGCCCAGGACGGGGCATGGCGTGGCCCCCACTCTGCCCGGGCCGCAGGGCCGGCTTTGGGAGGAGAGCTGGGAAGTGCCTGGGGGACCTGCAGCCAGCCTCCCGCCAGCCTCGCCCTCCTCGGCACAGGTGTCTGCAGGCCCGGATTCTGTTTGAACAGTGCGGCTCAGCTTGGATGCACTAAGTGCAGTGAGTGCAAACAGGCCTGCCACCCCCACTGGCCTCTTTTTTTCCATGGAGAGCAGCAAGTGGCAGGGACCCCTCAAATAGATCTGCTGGGTAATCCTGAGGTCATCGTGTCTCGCCCTCTGCCTGCAAGCTGTTTGGGTGTTTCTGAGCCAAATCTGATGCTCTACCCACTCTGCCCAGGCCCGAATGGCCCCCTCTGGCTGTCCCCAGCTTCTCACCCATGATGGCTTCAAGCCCCTAAGCTTAGGAGTTGGGAAGAAATCAGATTGATGTGAATAAACCTTGTACTCAGTTGCCTTGGCTACAGAATGGGACGGGAGAATTGACCTGCCTATTGGGGGAACCAAGGATGAGTAAACTGGGTGACAAATCAGGGCAGAGCAAATAGACAAACCGCAGTTCCCATCGGGGACAGTACTGGGGCCAGTGCTCCTCACTACCTGATGCATTTGCTCATAGCTTTCACTGACTGTTTTCCTTGCTGGAAGTCCTTTAGCTGGTTCCCTTCAAAGGAGGCTGTGTTGGCGAGATACATGTGTGAATAAAAACGAGGCTGAAAGTACATCCTGGCTCTGGGTGGGCGGAGTCGAGGAGGTCTTCTTTGCTTATGTATGTGTGTATTTGTAACAGTTTTATTTTTTTATAAATCTTTATTGATTTTAGAGAGAGGAAGGGAGAGAGAGAGAAACATCAATGATGAGAGAGTCATTGATCGGCTGCCTCCTGCACGCCCCCTGCTGGGGATCGAGCCTGCAACCGGGGCATGTGCCCTGACTGGGGATGGAGCCCGAATGTGCCCTGACCGGGAATTGAACCGCTATCTCCTGGATCCTAGGTCGACACTCCACCGCTGAGTCACGCCCAGCCGGGCAACAGTTTTATTGAGATGATTTACATATTGTACCATTCATGCATTTAAAGTATACAATTGGATAGTTTTTAGCATATTCCTAGGGTTGTGCAACCATCCCCACAATCAATTCGAGAACATTTCCATTACCCTGAAGCCCCCCTCCCCACATTCTGCCCCCTCGGCCTCTGGGCACCATTAGCCGGCCCCCCGTCTCTATGGGCATTTCATACAAATGCAGCCACACAGTGTGTGGCCTTTTGTGTCCAGCTTCTGTTAGCTAACGTTTGTAAGGCTCATCCTTACTGTAGCTTATCAGTGCTTTATTCTTTATGGCTGAGTGGTGTCTCGTTGGATGGATATACCAACATTTTATCTACTCTTCAGTTAATAGCTCTTTGGGTTGTGTCTACTTCTTGGCTATTATGAATAATACTGCTCACATACAAGGTTTTGTGTGCCCATATATTTTCAAATCCTTTGGATATATACCTAGGAATGGAATTGCTGGGTCACACGGTCGCTCTATGTTTAACTTTTTGAGCACCTGCCAGACCGTTTTCCAAGGTGACTGCACCATTTTGCATTCCCACCAGCAGGTGTGAGGGTGGCAGGTTCTCCGTTTGTGTTTTCTGATTTTTTTGTAATGAGCCATGGCAGCAGATGCCACGAGTTGCCTGCCCACTATCCTGCCCTTGCTTCCTGGCTAACGGGACCCTACTTTTGTACATGTCAGACAACAGAGCGTAGCTGGTCTCACCCTCGCAATAACCCTGCCCCCTGCTGTCGTAGGCCAGGTTCCCCAGGAGCAGCCCTGGGAGGGGTTTGTGTATGAGCAGGGCAGTAAGTTGGGACCAGTAAGGGAGTGGGGCAAGTGGGGCACCATTGTCCCATCTCCACCTGGTTCCTGGGGAGCCCTGGCCCATCAAGCACACTCAGTTGGTCCCAAGCAGAGGCAGGGGACAGGCCATTTGGGCATCTCTGGCTCGCACCTGCAGGCATTGTGGCCCAGTAGCCCCTAGACAAGTCCACTGAAGAGCCCCCGTAAGCTGGCCAGACCATCGGAAGCAAAAACACATTAAAGTGGGGGAGAGGGGCTCAGAAATGGGGAGAGGGTCAGAGGATTGACAGTGTCCCTTGCACCCACTTCCCAAGCTCCCTTGCTGCTGGGGGGCCATGTGACCCAGCTCTGACCAATTAGCGCTGGGCAGAGTTGTTCTTTCCTGGCGGAGGTTCAGCCTCAGCTGGCCCCTTTCCCGTCTCCAGACTGCACCCACTGAGCGAGCTTGTGTCCTGGAGGGAGAGGTCAAGAGTGATGCAGAGCAGCTCAGCTGATTCCTGCACACTGTCTCTAGCTCTCTCCTGTTAGAGACAGAAGCCCATTCCCTAAGCCGCTGTTAGGTGCTCTGTAACTTCCCAATGGTTAAGTGAGGCTTTGTTGTTTTCATTGTTCAAGGCTTATTTGAGTTGGAAGGAACACTCTCCAGGTATCTCAAGTGATTGGAATAATTTGTGGTGGGAAGCNTCACATGTGAACTTTGGCTTCCCTCTCTTTCCCACACATCCTGACATGCCAGGATGGAACATTTTGGAACATACCCTCTCCCTGGAGACCCTCCCTCTTGGGAGCAGCACTTGCCCTGGACCCCAGCTCTCCCCACTCTGACGTTCTCCATCCCCCAGAGGAGGGGCCTTGATGTCTGCGAGGGTGCCCAGTGGGGCGCCAATGCAGACCTTCTGTCCCTCTCTAAGAATTCATGGTGGAGAAAGGCAGACACTTAGTCCTATGAACCTGGGCACAGCTTCATTTCCTGACGGAGTTGGCCCTTAATACTGCACATAGGGTGTTTACAGCTTTTTCCCTTGTGATCTGAGCATTAATGTGCGTTCTGGAGTCTCATCTCAGAATTCTGCTTCTCAGCTAAACATCCCCTGGCAAGTGAGGCCCCTCCTCAGGAGGCTGAGGACTTGAGGGATGTCCTGGCTCCCTCAGGGCTGTAGTCAAGGCTGTGGCCTCCCTGCTCTGTTTGCAGAGCCACCAACCCTTCCCACAACCTCTGGCTCCTGGGTTTTGCCTCTAACCCAGGGCTGAGGGAGCAGGAGGTTCCAGGGCCTCCAGGGCCCCTCTCTTACCCCCATCCCCCAACCCCCTCTCCACCTCCTGGAGTCTATAGAGGCTCCCAAATCCTTTCTAGTCCTGATGTGGGTGCTGTGGCTCAGCCCTGTGCTGCTGAGGAGCAAGGATGTGAAGCCTCAGGCTGGAGGCCTCATTTCCTGGAGGAAGGGGCCTGGGCAGGTCTCTCACAGCCCACCCACTCTCTAGGTCAGCTGTTCTCCATCTCAAGTGGGCATTGGCGTCGCCTCCAGAGTTCCTGACTCAGTGGGTCTAAGGCAGGCCCAATCACTGCTGTTTCTAATGAGCTCCAGGTCTGGGGCCCACACGTTGAGAACTGCTGCTCTCGGCTGTATCCTGCCCAGGCACTTGTGCTAATTTGTGTGGATGCGAACTCTATCTCTACCACTAACTGTGCAACCTCGGCCAACATAAGCCACCTCTCTGTGCCTCAGTTCCCACCTACAAACTGGAGATAGTGATAATGTAGGTGATTATGAGAAAACACATATAAAACGCTGGGCCCATCATGGTGACCCTGTTCCCCACTGTTTAAGGCACATTGTAAATGCTCGGCAAATATCAATGATCACTGTGCTTGTGTCTCTGTGGTGGATGCTGTCATTCACTCCGGCCCTAGTCTCGAGCGCACTTACCTTCCCCAGCAGCACCGTGCTTTGCCTTGTCTCTTGCAGAGAGCGTTTTGGGAGTTTGTGTGGGAAGCAGAAGGGGCCCAGGCAGGGGTGACCTGCTCTGCCATCAGAGAGCCTCCCAGGGGCACGGTGCTGGTGGAGCTCAGTCGCCCTGGCCACTACTCGCCAAGCCCAGCTCCAGGTGGCTCCTGGCCGGGGAGGGCCAGCATGGCGGCTCCTGATCTTTATCTGTGTCTCCCACCCAAAGCTTCAGCTGCCACCGCCCCGAGTGTGGTCAGCACAGGGACATTAGCTGGGAGAGGGCAGAAGGAACACGGCCCTGGGCTGGGGCTGGGAAGTGCAGAGTGGGGGAGAAGGGATTTGCACAGCGTGGGTAATGCCAATACTCCAATCATGGGTATACAGCAAGTGGCAACTTAGAAAGTGTGTTCAGTCTGCTGTTGAAAGTCTGCAGCACAGATATGATTACTCTCACCTTCTAGGTGAGGAAATTTGGGACCAGAGAGGTCAAGTGAGTTGCCCCATGTCACAGTGATCCAGTTTTAGACCTGGATCTAGGTCACCCCTGGCTCTGTTCCCGCCCCCTCTGCTTCCAAACAAGGCTTCGGCCCCTGGGTTGTGGCCCTGGACCGGCCACGAGAACCCCCATTCTACACCCTCCCCCCCCCAGCAGCATGTCCCCTTCACCTGCACAAACTGCTCCAGGGCCCGCTGGTCCAGGCAGGTGTAGTTCTCCAGGAAGCGCAGCTTCTCAAACTGAAACTGGTCCCTGGACTGAGCCTCTGCCTGCTTCTCCAGCAGCTGGAAGACCGTGGCTCCGAGCAGCAGGTAGCAGACGTAGGCCAGCAGCAGGGGCAGCACCCGGCTCCCCCAGCAGCTGCGGAGCCCAGGACGGGGCATGGCGTGGCCCCCACTCTGCCCGGGCCGCAGGGCCGGCTTTGGGAGGAGAGCTGGGAAGTGCCTGGGGGACCTGCAGCCAGCCTCCCGCCAGCCTCGCCCTCCTCGGCACAGGTGTCTGCAGGCCCGGATTCTGTTTGAACAGTGCGGCTCAGCTTGGATGCACTAAGTGCAGTGAGTGCAAACAGGCCTGCCACCCCCACTGGCCTCTTTTTTTCCATGGAGAGCAGCAAGTGGCAGGGACCCCTCAAATAGATCTGCTGGGTAATCCTGAGGTCATCGTGTCTCGCCCTCTGCCTGCAAGCTGTTTGGGTGT